TGTGAGATTTTGATGGTGGTGATGATGATGATGGTGATAATGGTGGTGATGATGACGATGGTGATGATGGTAGTGGTGATGATGACGATATATGGTGATGATGATGGTGATGATGACTTTGGTGGTGTTGATAATGATTGTTGTAATGATGGTGGTGATGATGGTGTTGATGATGATGGTGATGGTGAAAATGGTTGTTGTAATGATGGTGGTTGATGGTGATGGTGATGGTGATGGTGGTGATGATGCCTTATAATTGATGATGGTAATGATGGTGATGATGATAGTGGTGGTGATGATGGTTGTTTAATGATGGTGGTTGATGGTGGTTGATGGTAGTTGATGGTGTTGATGATGGTTCATGATTGGTGATGAAGAAGACGGTGATGATGGTGATGATGGTGATGATGATAGTGGTGGTGATGATGATAATAATAGTGACATTAAAATACCACCAATATTTTGTAAAAAATACCTTATTTTTGAATACGCCCGTGAGACCTTTAAATGCCTGCGGCATCGCATACTCCAGTGTGAATGCGTAGACATTCGTATCTAACAAATCTCCAGACGTCTTTGCAAACCCAGGAATATCAACATCTGTTCCGACCGACTCGGTAAAAAATTTATTAAACTGCGACGCAACAGTTCCCGACCGTTTCCCGATCATTGCGACGTCATGATCCGACGTACACGTCACATGATTCAGAGGTGTAAGAAAACATACACCATTAGTCGGCACAGTGAAGTCGCCATTCGCATGTTTTATGCACGGACCAAACGATATATCCTCCAGATTGATCTTATTTAAGACATAAACCACGTATAAATATCGAGCTGCTATCACATATAACAGGTTTAAACAGTTGCCTAAAATAAATAAATAAATAGATAGTTTAACAACCCCTTTTCTTTATTTTGTTTTACACAGAACACACAATATGCTAGTTTTATTGACAGTTCTATTGTGACTCTAACGTCTGTATTCTAAAAGCTCACTCACGCTCACACTGAAAGAGTGGATGTTCAATTTGAGCTTTCTCTGAGTGACAATGCTGCTTTTGAATAGCTGGGGGGACAGTATCGTACCTTACTATGTGACTACTCGCCCTCCAACTATTCAAAAACAGCATTGACACTCAAGGGAAGCTCAGATTGAACCTCCACTCTTTGAGTATGAGTAAACTTTTAGAATACAGGCGTATTATGTGAAACACAAATTGATTGAACAGTTGAAAATTTTGACATGCACATTTTGATACTGCAATTTTGCCAATTTATGGCATGGTTATGCGGAATGATACACCAGAGTACTATTTTCTTTGAACGAAGGTTCTTTAACCAATTCAATCTTCATACCTGTTGCTACATCGCGAAACTTAGCATTGACCAGCGTGTTTGACCAGGTATTGTAACGGATGAAGAATAGTTGGATGCGTTTTGCCATGGCGTTGAAATATGTAGTGCCAATAAGATTTTTAAAGTTTGGGAAATTTATCCAAGTATGTTTGTTGGGATTTTTTTCAAAACAGTAGTAGTCGACAATACATGTTTTGAAGAAGTCTAAATCTTCTTGCACATTATCTGATGCTCCAGTTGTACTGTTAGGAGATATAGGGTTATCATTAACAGATTATCAACACTGCCATCACCACCAATGCACCATCATCATCATCGCCAACTCAACTGCCAGTCTGCCACCATCATTACCATCACCATTACCATTATGGTTACCATCATTATCCTCACCACAATCCAGCATCATCAACGCGACCATCATCATCACCACCACCATCATCTCCAGCATCCACTATCATGATCATCACCACCATCATCGCCATCATCACAAATACCATCATCACATACCATCATCACCACCATCATCGCCATCATCACATATACCATCATCACCACTATCACTACCACCTACCTCTGTGCAGTCTGTAGACATTGCTGTTGTGTTGCCGCAGCCACAACTGGACATGCCCGTTTAAAAACGTCATCCTGTGCTTGGACTCTTGCGCGATGAGGAATCCTGGGTACGGGAAAAGTCAACTCATTTCCAATCGTTATACCAGGATCAGAATTTGTGGCAGCAGTTGTGTGAAACTAAAATTGTTGTAGAAAAATACCGTATATAGTTTCAGTCAGCGTTCTAGGACAGCAAATGAAGGTCAGCTTCGGAAATGTATTTATTTGCCACTAATTACACAACTACTTACTGTACATACAATGAAAAAATAACATTATTTTCTCACTCTGATAACGGCAGGTTGACCATCATCTGCCGCACGATAGTGCTTAGTGAAACGTTTTTAAAAATAACAAATAATCGCAGTCATAGGCGTGAAGCGTGAAACTTACAATTTGACCAATCACGACGGTTAACGCTAAAAGAATAGACTGCATTCCTATAAGTGAGAGTTTAAAACAAATACAGATTATCATACTGGATAGCTCTAACAGTTCTGAACTGTTTTCTCTAGAGGTCCAGTAAGAGCCATCTCTAATATTGATCCAGTGTTACTACAGAAGGAAAATTAAACTAGACTAACTTTATTTATACTGGATAGCTCTATCAGCTCTAAACTGTTCTCTCTAGAGGTCCAGTAAGAGCCATCTCCTATTGACCCAGTGTCATTATAGGAGGAAACCTAAACTAAACTAACTTTATTTATACTGGATAGCTCTATATCAGTTCTAAACTGTTCTTTCTAGAGTTCCGTGAAGAAACATCCTCTATAATTATAACGGGGAAACCACGATATTTGATAGAGCTAGATGAAGAGTCTGGAAGCACTCTTCTCACATATGACTGAGGTGAAATTATAACCAGACAACTCCTCTGACACAGGGATGAAAGACACATGCACTAACCAATGGTATCACTAACACCGCCACTGACTCTATCAACTTGAACTTATTATCTATAAAAAGAAAATTAACTCACTTTAGCAATTAACTGATATTCAGCAGCATTTCTTCGCTTCGTTAACAAGCACTAAACTTTCGTTTCAAAATAAAAAACAATTTAGTCTACTACCAGAAAGGGAGGTTTCTTTTTACAGGTAGAACAAACGATGCGTGTCCTTAATAAAAAAATAAACTTTTTGATCCTTTAATTGCCGTGGTTTCTATTAAACCAGCATTTGTAATCCAAACAATATTGATATTGTATTTTGAAGAATATATACGAAACATTGCTTGTATTTATAGAGACAATGAATTTTTGCAGTGAATTTTAAAATATTTGGTTTAACTGAAATGCCACATGTATTTGTTTTGATAATAAGGTTGTGTACACAATATTTAGATAATCGTACAATGATGTAGTTCATGTCTCTTTTTATAGTCAAAGTTGTAATGAATTTATGAAGAGAATCGTAAAGCAGTTTTGAATATATATTTAGTGAAGAAACCCCAGGGATATGAAGCATGCATGATTTATAATAGTTTTGTTTGTGGAAACACCACGTAAATTTATTACTGCAAAGCTTTCGATCCGTAAGCCCGGATCTTCATCAGTGCTAATAATATGTGACTTGTTCAATTCACGATTCAATTCATGTTCAATTTAATATATTGAATTATATTGAATTGTGTTCAATTATTGTATTAATTCTTGTTCAATTCATGCATGATTTGTTCTAAATTATTACTATTCTACATGTATTGAAAATGAAACAAAATTTATTTGTACTGGATAGCTTGCTGTAGACTGCATGTTCTGACGGAAGTCTATACAGGTCCGTTGTAACAACAGGACAAAACCTAAACTAAACTCGTTTTCCGATCTATGCTTTTGAGGGTACTTACGTAATCTTGTATTTATCTTTACTACACTGTTATTCTTGCAAAATCTACTTCTTCATTGTCGACATTCGTGATATCATTTGGAATTTCAGCTCCGTTAGCCAGTGATGAAACTATCACCTTCGTCGGGGTTCAGTGTAAGGAAACAGTAAACTATACTAACTTTATTGATACTACAGATACATTTTCATATAGTCAATTGAACATAGTCAATTGACAATGAAATAGTTCATCTTTACCAATTATTTATTTTTACCATGCAAACCTACAAGGTTCAATGGTATGAAGATAACGAAATATCTTTAAAAGGAAAAATTACACTAATTATTGAAAAAAAAACACACACACAAAATACGTCGTAGCGACTATCTTTTTATGTCCAAATTACAGCAAATAGAAATATTTAGAAAGTAAGGTACTTTAAGATTGTATTTAACTTCTTCGCCTTCGGCGTAAATGTTGCCTGGTGAATGTCAAAGCAAAGTCAGGTCTTTGCTTTGGGCATACTTACTGTAATGACAACGAAATTTAAGTGCATTTTAGTGCATGCATGTTGCCTGATGAATGCCATAGCAAAGTCAGGTCTTTGCTTTGGGCATGATTTACTGTAATGGCAACGAAATTTAAGTGCATTTTAGTGCATGTTGCCTGATGAATGCCATAGCAAAGTCAGGTTTTTGCTTTGGGCATGATTTACTGTAATGGCAACAAAATTTAAGTGCATTTTAGTGCATGTTGCCTGATGAATGCCATGGCAAAGTCAGGTCTTTGCTTTGGGCATGATTTACTGTAATGGCAACGAAATTTAAGTGCATTTTAGTGCATGTTGCCTGATGAATGCCATAGCAAAGTCAGGTCTTTGCTTTGGGCATGATTTACTGTAATGGCAACGAAATTTAAGTGTATTTTAGGCAAAAAGAACATGTAAATCAAGCACACAACTTAACTATGTTTTCGTAGCCTACGTTGTCAGACGTAGATGAGTTGTGTGCTTGATTTACACAATACACAGTACTACCAGGGCGTTTATGAGATATCTTATAAACGCCCTGGTACAACTCAAGTAGTCAAGTTGTAAGCAGGTTGCATGAGACACTTTTAGACAAACATTGTGTAGTGTAGTGTAAAACGGCCTTAATGGTTCAAAAATCTATTCTTCAATTTTAACTGTAGTATATTTTCAAAAACTACAGTTCAGTTTTAACAAGTACATTTTCTTTTGGTTTTTTCCACCGCATTTTCCCTCTGAATGACTTGCCATACCGCTGAGCAAAATGAGAGAATGCGACACGGTTAAATTTCCTGACACTCAGTTGAATCTTATCCATACATCCTTTTTGGAATTTCATCCTTTCAATCTCGGGCCGAAAATGGCAATAGAACTTTTGTAGGAATATTTTGATATTTTTCGTTTCATCAGGCCCCATGTTGACCCTGCTAGCTTTCGGTTTAGCACTAATACGTCTTCTACGACTTACATATATACTTCGTCTTCGTCTACTAACACTTGAATATCTACGTCGTCGGCCCACACTAATTCGTCTTCTACGACTTACATATATACTCCGTCTTCGTCTACTAACGCTTGAATATCTACGTCGTCGGCTCACACTCAAACTTCTATAACCATATCGGCCACGTCGATAATATCTTGAGAAAAATCGTGGATGTTCCTGTGTTTTATTCCCGACTGATTTCGTTCGGGTTGTTTTCCTTGGAACATCGTGGGCATCCGATGTCGGGTACTCCAGAAAATCGTCATGCGTTGGCTCTTCTGTTTCCACGCCCGCAGTTTCTTTGACGTTCTTGTCCAGCGGTTTTACCATTGGTGAATTCGATGTCCTCTTAGTATCTTTGCCAAGTGGTTTTACCATTGGTGAGTCCGATGTCTTCTCAATACCTTTGTCTAGTGGTTTTACCATTGGTGAGTCCAATGTCTTCTCAGTATCTTTGTCTAGTGGTTTTACCATTGGTGAGTCCGATGTCTTCTCAGTATCTTTGTCTAGTGGTTTTACCATTGGTGAGTCCGATGTTTTCTCGGTATCTTTGTTTGCTGGTTTTACCATTGGTGAGCCCGATGTCTTCTCAGTATCTTTGTCAAGTGGTTTTGCCATTGGTGAGTCCGATGTCTTCTCAGTGTCTTTGTCTAGTGGTTTTACCATTGGTGAGTCCGATGTCTTCTTAGTATCTTTGTCAAGTGGTTTTGCCATTGGTGAGTCCGATGTCTTCTCAGTGTCTTTGTCTAGTGGTTTTACCATTAGTGAGCCCAATGTCTTCTCAGTATCTTTGTCAAGTGGTTTTACCATTGGTGAGTCCGATGTCTTCTCAGTGTCTTTGTCTAGTGGTTTTACCATTGGTGAGTCCGATGTCTTCTTAGTATCTTTGTCAAGTGGTTTTGCCATTGGTGAGTCCGATGTCTTCTCAGTATCTTTGTCCAGCGGTTTTACCATTGGTGAGTCCGATGTTTTCTCGGTATCTTTGTTTGGTGGTTTTACCATTGGTGAGTCCGATGTCTTCTCAGTATCTTTGTCTAGTGGTTTTACCATTGGTGAGTCCGATGTCTTCTCAGTATCTTTGTCTAGTGGTTTTACCATTGGTGAGTCCGATGTCTTCTCAGTATCTTTGTCTAGTGGTTTTACCATTGGTGAGTTCGATGTCTTCTCAATATCTTTGTCTAGTGGTTTTACCATTGGCGAGCCCGATGTCTTCTTAGTATCTTTGTTCAGCGGTTTTGTCGTCTCAGCACCTGCACTTTCTTTCATGTCATTGTGAAGTGGTTTTCTCATTAGTAAGTCTGTCGTCTCCTCAGTGTGTTTGTCGAGTGGCGTCGTCATTTCTGAGCTCAGAGATTCTTTATGATCGCTGTTGAGCGGTTTTGCCATTGGTGAGCCCATGGACTCCTCAGAATCTTCATTCAGCGGTTGTCTGATAGGTAAGCCTGCTGTTTCCTTAATATCTTTATTTTCTGGTTTGGTCATCGATGCGTCCACAGATTTTTCTGTGTTCATCTGTGAACCAATGGACTCCCCTTTACCTTCGTCCATCGACGACCTCATCTGTTCATTATCGTTCATGTCCATTGGATTTGTCATGGACGAACCTGCAGTCACTTTACTATGCGGCTCTACCATGGATGCGGTATCATTATTCATGTTCGTTTTATAATCTGGTTCAACCATAGATGAGTCTATGGACGTCTCTTCGTCTTCGTCCAGCGATCTCGCCATGTCCTCGTCGGGCAGTGTTCGCTTCACAGGAGAGTCTTCGTCTTCATCCAGCGATCTTGCCATGCCCTCGTCGGAGAGTGTTCGCCTCACAAAAGACTCTTCGTCTTCGTCCAGCGATCTCGCCATGGCCTCGTTGGAAAGTGTTTGCCTCACAAAAGACTCTTCGTTTTCATTCAGCGATCTCGCCATGTCCTCGTCGGAGAGTGTTCGCCTCACAGAAGGCTCTTTGTCTTCATTCAGAAATTTTGCCATGTCTTCGTCGGGCAGTGTACGCCTCACCGGAGACTCTTCGTCTTCATCCAGCGACCTCGCCATGTCCTCATCGGAGAGTGTTCGCCTCACAGAATGCCCTTCGTCTTCATGCAGCGATCTTGCCATGTCCTCATCGGGCAGTGTACGCCTCACCGGAGACTCTTCGTCCTCATCCAGCGACCTCGCCATGTCCTCAACGGAGAGTGTTCGCCTCACAGAATGCCCTTCGTCTTCATGCAGCGATCTTGCCATGTCCTCATCGGAGAATGTTCGCTTCACAGGAGACACCGCGGCGTCAACATCGGCATATAACGGTTTGACCTCCTGTGGAGTTGCAAAATTTCCGAAGTTATCTAGCTCTTCAGTATCTGCTAAGTCCAAAAAGTCTGGTGTCAGTGGACTTGTCAGGTATATACCCGATGACTTCCCATCGTTCTTTTCAGCCTGAACTTCGATTCGTGAGCCCACAGACGCACCAACATTCTTGTCCAACAGTTTTGTCTTACGCTGAACGTCAGCGTCTTCATTCTTTTCCACCAGCAGTTTTTCTTTGTTTGTGATCTCGCTATCCTTAGTCAACGGCTCAGTCTTATGTGCGCCCTCGATATCTTTAGTCAACGACTTCGTGTCGTCGGGGCTTTCGACATCTTCGCCCAGCGGTTTTGCCACAGTCTCTGTTGTAGTTTTTTCATTCTCTATCGTCTGTTCCGGTTCGCCCCACTCCGGGAAGTCGTCTGTTTCATCGAACGGAGCATCCTGTTGTGTGGACGGGAAAGGTCGTTTTAACGTCATTCCGAACGGTCGCCTCCAGGCGGGCGGGGTCAAGATAGGGAGTTTCGTGCGACCTTTATTGCGATAATTTAGCATCCAGTGTTTTGCGATTGCCATGGTTTCTTTGAATTCGCCCAAGCGTCCACTTTTACTACCTCTGCGAGATTTTTGTAACAGTAGTTTCATCTGAAAATACATGTTCAGAATGGGTAAGTTTCGCTAAGCGATATCGTGCAGGCAGAACCGTCGTGGGGGGGGGGGGCAGGAGAGAGGATTTTGCCTCCGGTCTTTAGCTCAAAAGGGTTCCCCAACGTCCCTAAAGTTTTCTTGATAAGATTGCTTAACCGGGAATATAAATCGTAGCTACATTAGTGTCGGGTAATATGCAATAAAGTGTAACATGTATAGGTATAGTTTCTCGTGCAATTTGGGGAAAACATCCAAATTGCACAAGAAACCATACTATAAGCAACAAGTGTATTTGTCTCAGTAAAAATTTGCACAGTGCTTGTACAGACAAGCAAATCAGTAAAACTTACCTGGACCATCGCATCAAACATAAGATAAAGTGATTTACTCATCCTCAACAGGCAAGCGTTTATCTTATACTTGTTTCGCAAACACTCTTTCTTATAAACCCGGGTGGCAATCGCCCAATTTTCCAACATGGAATGCCAATAGTCTTCAAGCTGGATGAAGTATTTTTGTTGGTTCTGAGTAAGTTTTTCTTTGATGACGGCGTGCCGTACCGCGCCAGAGGTCAGATACACTGGAGTGTTGTAAACCAAGCATACCGCATATTGAGCTAAGAGTCTGACGTAGGATGAAGGAATTTCGTCTGGAAGAAAGTAATTTAGAATTTTGGAGGCCCTGTGTGGGGTATTCTGCCGTATAAGCTGTTGCGTTGTGGTTTGTGTCTGAACTACCTGAAAAACATATCTCAAACGTGATGGTCCAGTGTGGGTAGTGTTCTACAATAAGCTAGCTGTCGTGGTTTGTCTGGTTTGTGTCTGAACTACCTGAAAAACATATCTCAAACGTGATGGTCCAGTGTAGATAGTATTCTACAATGAGCGGTCGTGGTTTGTGTCTGAACTACCTGAAAAACATATCTCAAACGTGATGGTCCAGTGTAGATAGTATTCTACAATGAGCGGTCGTGGTTTGTGTCTGAACTACCTGAAAAGATATCTCAAACGTGGTGGTCCAGTGCAGGCATTATTCTACAACAGGCTGTCGTGGTTTGTGTCTGTACTACCTAAAACGATATCTCAAAGTATCAAACGTGGTGGTCCAGTGTAGGTAGTAGTCTACAATAAGCTGCCGTGGTTTGTGTGTGAACTACCTGAAAACGTTATCTCAAACAGTAATAATGTTCTAGGCTACCAAGAACATAGAAATAGCCGTGTAATACTTCTTCAATTTTTACCTTTAGACTCCAGTCTTCCGATGACCAACTGAAATGCGATCTTGTGACGCCGACGGTAATTCAGTTCGTAATTATAATGTGGTGATTCCATAAAACTTTTAATCTTGGAATCAAATGACGTCAGCTCCACGCCCCAGTGTTGAAAAACCATCGCGAGTGACGTTTGCGCGCGCAACGGACTCTGATCGCTTAGCAACTCGTTAAAATATTTCCCGCTAAAACTCTTCATTCTGAATATAGCCACAGCCACTGATAACAATTTCATCTTCGCACTGCCTATCATTTTTCCCGCGACAGCTTGAAGCATTAAATTGTGGAAAAGATTAGGGCCTCTAAACATTTGTGGAAAGACATTCTCCAGGCTGAATGCTGAAACCCGCACCCCCATAAGTATATCGGAGTCCTCCTTAAAACCGGGTACCGTACGGTCTTCACCAATGGGCTCCCTGAAAAACTGATTGAATAGTGCAGTCAGAGAGCCAGAGTTTCGTCCCAGAAGATTAAGTTCGATTTCCTCCGCACACTTTAAGTGAAGTGGCTTAATATAACAGATATTTCCACGACTTGTTATTGAATAGGTGAATGGGTACTTGCCGCTCTCACTTGCTATACATACTGTTAACTCATATTTCAAAGTGTGTAGAACGTACAATGCATACACGTACTTGGCTGTTACGACATATAATAGATCTCGACAGTCGTTCGCTTTGAAAATGTCTTTCTTTTGCAATATATTATACCAGTTCCCATTGCGAATAAAGAAACGCTCCACTCGTTTTGCGATTAGTTCTATGTAGGGACGTTTTTTGGAATCGTAAAAGTTGCTTGAGGCGATTTGAGGAACGGTGATATTTGTGTTGTGTATTATACCAAAGCCAAAATAATCCACTATGCATTTTTTGAAGAATTTGGCGTCGTTCTTGTTTGATTCTTGGGTTGTGAGTCTAGAAATGAGAGTACGAAATAAAGTTAAATGATATTTGGTTGTAAGGTATTGTATGGTATTGTATGGTATGGTATGGTATGGTATGGTATGGTATGGTATGGTATGGTATGGTATGGTATGGTATGGTATGGACGTATGGTATGGTATGGTGTAGGCCACTGTGGTTAGTTAACGTTTATAACTGATACAGCTATCCAGTATAAACAAAGTTAGTTTAATTTAGCGTGTTTCCTCCTGTAGTAACACTGGATCAATAAGAGATAATCTTTACTGCACCTCTAGGGAGAACAGTTTAGAACTGATAGAACTATCCAGTATAAACAAAGTTAGTTTAGTTTAGGTTTCCTCCTGTAGTAACACTGGATCAATAAGAGGCGATCCTTACTGTACCTCTATTGAGGAAGAACAGTTTAGAACTGATAGAGATATCCAGTATAAATAAAGTTAGTTTAGGTTTCCTCCTGTAGTAACACTGGATCAATAAGAGATGATCTTTACTGTACTTCTAGGAAGAACAGTTTAGAACTGATAGAGCTATCCAGTATATAAACTTCTTCTTGTAACTTACTTTCGTGCCATTTCTTCACAATCTGGTTCTCCATACTAGAAGAAGATGAAAACATATAATATAAGCAACAATGTTATTTATTTTAAATTGTCAACAAAGCTCTCATGCACTGGCAAACCTTTTCCTGCCAACTCCCAGACTACGTTCGATCAAAACGATATCAATACAAAATACAGTGGCGAAGCAACAGATCATACTATGCAAATTTTTAATGACTTGTATTATTCAAAGTATTAGAAATGTACTGTCGATAACCAGAATTTTTCTGTGTTGGTGTAGTGTAGTCAGGTGAATATGATGGTTGTGATGTTACTCTGAGTGTATATCCACACCGGACAACCTGAGTACACTACACCAACACAGAAAAATTCATGATCATTAATAGATTAAATTGATATCGAAGGAACTATAGACTCGGTTCCAAAATATCACATACTCGAACCGTCCTGACCGCGTAGCTCAGTTGGCAGAGCATTGGGCTAGTATTCCAAAGGTCGTAGGTTCGATTCCCACCGTGGTCAGGCATATTTTTCAAGCTTGCCCGGTGTGGATGTCTATAACCTATTTGGATGCAGGTTTATCAGTATAGCATGACCAGTTGCCATGGCTAGCTTTGCTACTGGCAAGACAAAAAAAAATTAGCCAACAGGTCATCAGCACGCTTACATTGTACATGAAGAACGTGAGAAATATCGCAAACGTTGCAGTCTTTCCGAGAAACCGCATCTTTATTTAGTAGCTGCAAACAAAATGGAAAAATGTTTAGTTTGGAGTAGTTTAACTTGATGGATAGATTATATATTGGAGAGTATCAACCAATGAGATTTAGGTTCCTCCTGTAGTAACACTGGATTAATAGGAGATGATCCTTACTGGATCTCTAGGGAGAACAGTTTAGAACTGATAGAGCTATCCAGTATAAATAAAGTTGGTTTAGTATAGGTTTCCTCCTGTAGTAACACTGGATCAATAAGAGATGATCCTTACTGGATCTCTAGGGAGAACAGTTTACAACTGATAGAGCTAGCCAGTATAAATAAAGTTAGTTTAGTTTAGGTTTCCTCCTGTAGTAACACTGGATGAATAAGAGATGATCCTTACTGGACCTCTATATAGGATGAACAGTTCAGAAGTGATAGAGTTATCCAGTATAAATAAACTTAGTTTAGTATATTAAGTATCCTCCTGTCTCTGTAGTAACACTGGATCAATAAGAGATGATCCTTATTGGACCTCTAGGAAGAACAGTTTAGAACTGATAGAGCTATCCAGTATAAATAAAGTGAGTTTAGTTAAGGTTTCCTCGTGTAGCCCTGAAGCAAATACGAGATAGCCATTCCTGTGTCTATTAAATAACCTTACCTTTTCCAATTTAAATCTGTTTACAGTGTAATTAAATGATTTAAATCTGTAAACAATTACATACTTCAAAAATTAACGGACAAAAGTCGAACTGATGTCTGGAAACGCTACGACTATAAACGGTTTCAGAGACTTTTTATTCTCGCTTTGGAATACAAAACAACAAATGAAAAGATTTTGCTTTAAAAGAAAAACACATGTTGTTTATCTTTTACTGAGGGTAGTGCCTTTCAATAATATTTCATAAGATAAACAACCTCAATTATTTTCGTAAACATTTGTGAGAAAACAAATGTACCAGTCAATAATATTGTCACTGAAAGACTTTTCTTCGGTCAGAGCGAGGCTCCACTCGATCAGAAGGCATCATCATGACATTTCGTCAAAATTTTTTTCTTCAAGATTGGTTTAGAAACAAGTAGGGTTAGGTTAGGGTAAGGGTTAGTGTTTGGAGTAGGGTTAGTGTTAGTAAAACCGTTGCTTTGTTACATTTTGTCACTCTGAGGCCAGCGAAATAACCTCTTCCCACTCAGAATGAGGCAACTCCGACCCTATTAACCTGCGAAAGGGCATGCTATGAGTACGAGATCGTCCATTGGCCGAAACCAGTTTCAAATACTCGATTCTGATTGGTCAGCTTCGTTGCAGTTTTGCAAACGTGTCTGCAAGAGTCAAATCTAAATTCAAGATGGCGGATTGAAATGAATGTTTATCAATGGAGTATGTTTATATTTTGGCCATTTTTTATTAGTTTTAAAACAGAAATTTTGCGCGAGGTATCGTAAAAGGTAGCTTGATTCAAGAACATGGCTTTGTCATCAAAAGAGCTCTCGTTGCTTCTGAGGTTTGTCAGAATATGTACTTTTATGCTGTACGCCTTTATACATTTATATTGTATTGACAATGGTTCGGTATTATTACTACAAGAGGAAGCCTAAACTAAACCAATTTTATTTATACTGGATATCTCTACCAGTTCTAAGCTGTTCTCCATAGAAGTCCAGTAAGGATCATCTCTTATTGATCCAGTGTTACTACAGGAGGAAACCTAAACTAAAGTACTAAACCAATTTTATTTATATTACTGGATAGCTCTATCAGTTCTAAACTGTTCTTCCTAGAGGTCCAGTAAGGATCATCTCTTATTGATCCAGTGTTACTACAGGAGGAAACCTAAACTAAACTAACTTTATTTATACTGGATAGCTCTATCAGTTCTAAACTGTTCTTCCTAGAGGTCCATGCAGTAAGGATCATCTCTTATTGATCCAGTGTTACTACAGGAGGAAGCCTAAACTAAACTAACATTGTTTATCCTGGATAGCTCTATCAGTTCTATATAGCATATATATTTATTTTTGTTCTTGTTAGTATTTTATCCGAGGACAACCTCTCTCAGTCATCGTTTGAGGGAATCGCCTCAACTTTTCATCACACTTTTCAAAGACAGGACCACTTTCGAGTTGGATCTGCTTTGGTATGTGAATGTCCTATTGCTGAATATATTCATTGATCCTAGCGAGAGGGTGCCCCTCCCCTCATATTCTAGCACCATCTTCCAGGGCTTGAAATTTGTGGTACTATCACAGAATAAAGATCAGTACCAGAAGGGCCACTCAGCGTGCAACATGTAGCCATTTTTTATGCAAAAATATGCAGTTGACTGCAATATTGACTCCAGCCAATACAGTGCGTTTATTGCCGTGGGAATATGTAATCGACTGGCTAGGAAGATGGCGGCCAGCGCCTCAGAAATTTCAAAGCTTCCGACGTAAGTGGCCCTTCTGTGTGGATCTTTATTCTGTGGTACTATCCAGTGGGATACTAGGAACTTGCAAACTGGTATCCACCGAACGTTTTGGTGAATAACTGAGACGTTTTTTTTGGGGGGGTGCCAAAAATGTAGGGGGTGGTTAGCGACCAGGTTCGTAGCGGCACCAAGCAAGCTGCAGAAGGGTTCTGGGAGCACAGTTGCTAATGGGGGTAAGGGGGGCAAACTGCAAAGCCCCCAGAAAATTTTGAGATTTTTGGTCTTATTTTGTTCAAAATCCTTGTTTTTAGTCTTAATGAGTTCAAAATCTTTTTTCAATCACACTAAGTACTGTCATTTATGAGGAATGAGGAAGGGGGTGTAAATTTTGCTAGGCGGGGTGGGAAACCTTTTTTTTGGGGGGGGGGGTGCCAAATTTTCCATCTATGCCTTGCAGTATTCACCGCAACTTTGTTAAGTAATTGTTAATCATCGTAGTCAGTACTTCACTCAAATTATTTTCTGTTTATTTGAGTCTCATAAAATTTGTGTTAACTTTTTAGATGCTTCTCTTGCAACAACCTGACCTGCTACCTGCCCCCAGTCAACGAGTCTCCATCTTGTTTTTGCTTTATGAAATGTATAAGACTGAGCCACCTCAGAACAACCCATTTGTGACATTCTTTCTTCAGCTACTGGTAAGCACAGCATTTGTTAACCCATTGAGTGGCAGCGCTCTTCTCTTGACAGGTAATGGTTGGTAAAATGATAAAGGGTACAATGCAATGGTAATATTCTGTCTATTCTTATCAACTCTCATGCAAACTCTCGCTTCTCAACTCTCATCAACTCTCATGCAAACTCTCGTTTCTCAACTCTCATCAACTCTCATGCAAACTCTCACTTCTCAACTCTCATCAACTCTCATGCAAACTCTCGCTTCTCAAGTTCTCTCATCAACTCTCATGCAAACTCTCGCTTCTCAACTTTCATCAACTCTCATGCAAACTCTCAACTCTCATCAACTCTCATGCAAACTCTAGCTTCTCAACTCTCATCAACTCTCATCAACTCTCATGCAAACTCTCGCTTCTCAACTTTCATCAACTCTCATGCAAACTCTCGCTTCTCAACTCTCATCAACTCTCATGCAAACTCTTGCTTCTCAACTCTCATCAACTCTCATGCAAACTCTCGC